CAAGATTTGAAATCTGGCTTCTGTTTCAGTCCAGTCTCTGAATTCGCCGCTTACTTTGTGTGCATAGCCCTGCGATGCGAACTGAATTCGTTAGCAACATTAAGGAACTTCCAGGTTGGCGCTTTTTAAATTTTAATTGAAATAAGCAAAACCCAAAAACTCAATGATTGCACTAAAACCTGACGCAAATGCAGGATCGACAAAAGATCGCTGAGCTAAGAATCTATTTCAACAACCATTCGCAAGTGGTGAAGTCTGATAGCTCTAAAATAGGAAGAGGACGTCAATAACCAGTGGTATGTCCCAATTTATGCCTTTTAACGGTTTTAACTATAACGTATCTCCTTTTTGGTAGTTTTGCTTGCTCCATAGCAACTGTTGGTGTCTCTTAAATTTCACCCAAAAGAAGTCTGTTCCAAACACACCGCGTAAGGATCATTTGAGTGCACCCTACATCTACTACCTCGAGACCCCCGTCTCTTCCCCCACCACCTTAGCTCTTTTTACCTACCCCCATTTCTGATTTGCTCTGCGGCTTGCAGAGCACTAAGATGAAGGAATTCAATAGCTAGAGAGCAAGGATGGAAAAGATAATCTTTTGCTTCAGTGACTTAAATACCTCTTAACCAAAAGGACTGGTCATAAGTAAAAACCAACAACTGCATTTCTACATCGTTTAAACAACCAGGTGGAACTCTGAAAATTATTGAGCCAAACAAGACGTAAACATTATGCAAACAGTCCAATGTAAATGCTTGCCCTTTTTTTGTTTTACTCACTTTCCTGTTGGTTTCTGCGACGCGTTTCGTTTCATGCCATTCTGAAACTCTGGAGGAACGTTAACGCAAACAGAGGAGGTTTCTTACTGTTAGATCGTTGCTGAAAACAATCTCAAATAACGCATGAGTAAAAGCGCACCTCCTCTTTCTTTTTGGACGTGGTGTTTCTGGGATTTCATCGGCTGCCCGCTCCTTTAACTGGAAAAGATTTATTTAAACAGCCAAGCTTGCTCCAAAATTTATGCGCTTCAGGGTTCAACTCTTTTCGCAACGGCAATAACGAATTTCTGATTGGTTTCTGCCTAAATATTTCTGACATATTGAAGAGGGATGTGTTGTTTATAACTACTTTTATGTATTCATAATTTCCTCAAATGCAAAAGTTACCTGCAATTCGCCAGGCTGCTCCATACTGTGTTCCATCTCCACAACTGGACCAGCCTGATCACGTTCTTCCGCTGCATCCGAAAAAAACAGCGAAGTGATGCGCACTGAGCAACTGCAATTGTTCATGTGATTCTGGTAACTGACAATGAGAACATAACGAACAAAACAAAAAAGCTTTGAACTCGTTTGATACTACGGCTTTTGAAAGGACCTTCCTCATTTTCTGTTACCTTTGGACAGAAATTCAGAATTAAGGATTCTGTGTAATAAAAAAATCGCTTTGTATTTTAATTAGGTCAAACCTCACGATACAAAGAGAAAGCTGCCAAATTTGAAGATATTGAAGCGTAACGTTTGAGAAGCCATTGCTTGATACAACGGCATACTTTGTTTCAAAGCTGGTAGGACTGGTAGTTCTAGTGATATTCCCCCCGATTACTGCTAAGAAAAACGAATTCAACGAAAAGATACATCGATACTCACTTTACCTCAAGAAATTCGTGTTGAAAATCAGAGATGAAGATTTCTGTGGAAAGTCTGCCTGCTTGAAGCGATATGGAGCAGTTACCGAATTATATCCCATTGGATAGTACTGTGCCGGAGTGTCTAAACTTTTCGAACACAACTGTGAAACTGGCTGATTTGATAGCGAGATTTAATGAAACATCTTTTTTTCAAATGCATTTTCCTAAAATAACAGCTCCTGTGCTGAAAACAAACCATTTCGACTTTTTTTTTTTCTTATCTACTGTTATCCTAAATGACCTTCCCAAATTCTTTAATAAAGCGGAGGCAACAATAGATTCATATAAGCGATGAAAATGTTATCAAAAAGCGGTAGAGGCTGTGGATGACCGAGGAACAGCCTCGGCCGGCAGTAAATATCGTTGCTTGGTGGTTGCGCTGAGACAACCGAATGGGGTCTGCAGGAATATCTCCGCTTGGCCGGGAAGGAGGTCGCTTGGTCGCAGACATCCTCCTTCGTCGGACAGAAATTTTAACATTGAAGTCTTTGCCGAAAAAACGGACCACTGGCCCCATCTGGAGCCCCCCCTCGCTCCAGCTGAGTTCAGCTTGCAACAAAAGAGAATACATAATTATTTTCAACTTTTATTTTAACCTTTTTATTTTGACTTTCCTTTTTCATTTTTTTAGCACACTGCATGCTACTTTCGGTGCAACCGTCACATTGACGAGATCCAGCTGCAGAACTGAACAGGAATGTATGCGATTTGATGGACCGAAACATTCCTATTCAGATTTTAATCTTATTTTATTCACATTTTCCTTTTTTATGCGTTTTTGCCTATATGCAAATTGCAAAAACGCATATTGGGACGACCCTGTC